AACTGTGATACCCCCGAATTTCCGAATGTGGGTTGGCCAGGCCCACGCCCGAATACCCGAGGATATCAAAACAAATTGATAATAAACGAACACAGAGTACAAAAGAATAAAGAAGAATAAATAAAATGCTGACCAGAAACTAAAATGATAATCTAATAATAAACCTCATAATATATTTCCATTAATTAATAAACTCTTCTGATAAAACTGATCCTCCAAAATACAACTCGGGAATCCATACTGTGTGGACCCCTAGAAAATCCAAACTAAACAAATGACAGTATTCTAAAACAGGAAACTGAATCATAAAGGAACTCCTATGTAGCATCGGAAGAATGAAGTAGATTGATCCCCGCTCAGCACGAACAACCTCTACTCGTGACGAACACCTGAAAAACAATGGTGGGTCAGGCCCATAAACAAGTTCTACTCTACTACAGTCCAAGCAGAGATCCGATACACGTATACATCCTAGTCAATCCAACAGTAACTAGTAGTCCGTATATATATATACACACACTAAAGGAACCTCACTAGACTATAGGGTTGTCTCAACCTGAATAGTAGGCAACATGCAAAACGCACATATAGTGGGCATGAGTACCTAGACCTACCAGGGTACACAACTACACTATATCTAGCTACACATCCCTGGCGATATACGCACCCTAACCACTGATCCTGAGACTCAAACTCATATCATGGTACCATACTTATATATATAAAATATAGTGACCATCCTATCCAGTATAAATTAATCCTCCATAAGTCATTCAACTTGTTCAGCTGACCTGACTTGAATATAAGTAGGACTTAATATTTTAGTTAATCCATTCCCTTATATAATAAATTAATCCTCTATAAGTCATTCAACTTGTTCAGCTGACCTAACTTGAATATAAGTAGGACTTAACATTTTAGTTAATCCATTCCCTTATATAAAATAGGTAGGACTTAACTGATAAGTTAATCCGTCCCTAGAATGCCACCGTCCCATACCGGTGCATTAAACCACACAATCCAACAATTGATGTAATAATTAAAGAAATACATCAAACATTCCAGAAATAACTATGATAATATGATATCAAGTTATCACAGAATATGAATGACTTATTATTTATTTAAGCTCATATATCATATGTCCTACACAAACTGAATCTTATACATGATGATATTTTATTATATCGTCAAATAAGCATTCTCCATATCCAATTCATCCTACACATTTATTCTCAATTGCTAAAGCATTTTAAAAGATTAAATCCATTCGTTTGTGTAAACATTTAAATAGCAAGCATCGTTATGATTGAGTGTATTTAAATTTATTTAAACCCAAACCTAGTCCCTATTTAATGTTCAGGAATCCTAGGCATGTTTCTACGTTCCATCATTCCACATATATGAAAAATACATAATTCAAACATATAAAAATTCACACCAGAAATCAAATCAAAATCATGCATTTTTTAATTTATAACACAAGAACAGATATGACCCAATTTCACAAAAACCTATACTTTAATTCAATTAAACATGCATAATTATTTAATTTTATGTGTTTAGTAAATCCTGGAATTTCCTAGGCATGTACAGAAATACGAATCAAAGGGAAAGAGATAGAAGAAGAACTTGCCTTAAACTTTCGGATTGAAAGTTAAACTTCTTCTTCCTTGATCTTCTCTCTAAAGGGTTTTCTCCTCCTTCCTCCCTCTTTCTCCTTCTCTCTCTAACTCTCTCTCTAGAATATATTACGTGATATATTTTCACTCCTTTTTCAACCTATAGTTGTGTATTTATAGGCTAAATAATAACCCTATTCCTTTTCCCAATCCAAGTCAACTTAATAAAAATAAATAAAAATGAAAATATTAAAAAGGTAACTTAAAATATGTTACGTATAAAATATATGTATATCCTTATTATATAAATATATAAAATATATACATCAGATTATTTATTAATACTAAAGTTACTATAATATTAATAAATTACTTTCCTTTTTATATATATGTATATACATATATATCTATATATATACATATACAACTATCCATGGATAATTATCCATACCCATCCAACCTCCTATCCAAGCAGTCCATGGGATCCAATTGGTTGGCCAATTACCACTCACCATAACCATAAAAGAAAAATAAAATAAAATAATAAAAGAAATGAAAACATTTAATTTACAATTAATTAACATTAATCAAATATATCATTTAAGCACACAATCTAATTAAACAAATAATACAAATAACACCTAGACAAAATACAAATAACACATAGATAAGTAACCAATTAATCAAGTAACACTTAATTCAATTAAACACATAAACAATTAGTCAAATAATCAATTAAACAATTAAAAAAAATATAATAAAAATAAATAAATAAATACCGAGACTATCCTTTTAAAATTAGGGGTATTACACTATTTGAGTTGGTCAAAGAAAAATTACTATGATTCAAGATGTCACTAGCTATGTGCCAGCTACGTACACTTCGTACATACACTTTACACATGCTTATAAATACTCACCTTCTCATGCCACCAGAGAACAAGCTATATAGCCTCTCTCAAGCTCTAGTACATTCTAATTACTAGTTAGTGTAGTGGTCTTGAGAGAGAATCAATCAACCATGGAACCCCAGAAAAGAATTGATAGGTTTTCGAGCTGTAGAGGTGTTGCGTTTGAGATCAAACCTCACTTTGATCCATTCGCCATTCCAACACAGTCTATTAATCAGCACCAGGGGCAGCTCAATGTTATTTGAGACTTTAGGTAAAAAAATAAAGTGGCCTTTTAATTAAATTTACCGATATATTTATGTCGATATTATGATAATTATTTGTTTTGTGATTTTTAAATCTATCACTAAATTTTTTCAAAACTCTAGTTCCATTGTTAATTAATTGGTCATGTGCTTTCTAATAGTCACATTTAACAATATAAATAAAAATTATAAACAAAATATATAATTTTATGATAACAAAAATTAATAAAATTATATTTTGGTATAATACTCCAATAAATTTTTTAATAGAATATAAATGTATTCAAAATCTTATTACAGAGTGAGGTTGTGAGATTGTAAATTGTAATAGTGGAGAAGATGAAAATAAAAAAAAATTTATAATGAGAGAGGAGAAAAAAAATATAAGGAGTAAAAAAAAAAAAAAAAGAGAAAATAAAAGTTAATAGGAGTCTTAATTAGAAAAATATAGAAAGTTTTACCAATTTTCACTTAAATATATATTTAATATTTAGTGTGTGTATATATGCTAATGTAATGAAGGTGAGAGAGAGCAAAAAAAAAAAAAAAAAAATTATAATAATAAAAAGATAGAAATATTTTGGGCATAGTTTGTATTTATTGAGGCTTGATAATATAAGAAAATAAAATACTTAAGTAAGTCTTAATATGTGATGATCCGATTTTTTAAAAATTTAATTTAATTATTTTATGAGTTTTAGACTGTTTAAATTAATTATTTATTTATTAAAGTTAGTGGGTTTTGAAATTTAAATTAGTATTGTTATATAATATATATATTTATATATGTATTGTAAGGAAATGAGCCGAAACAGAGTAATGGGTTTGGTTTGTAATTGTTGTTTCATATTGTTATATTATATATATATATATATATATATATATATACACACACATGGTAGGCTGGGAAATGAAAAGTGGGAAAAGAAAGGCAAAAGTTATTTTGGCAGGCCCCATTTGATCTGGTCTTGTTTTGGTTACTTTTGTATATATACGTAATATATTTTTTGTTGCATTTGAAAAGGAAGTGGGCAGCAGCGAAATAGGAGAGGAAAGATTGAAAAGTTGGCTTTTGCGGGTCCCACTTGTTTATTAATTTTTGTTTTTGTTTCATTTTTTTTATATATTTTGTGTGTGTTATGAATTGAAAAGAAAAGGAAGGAAGGAAAAGTTGGTGTGATTTGAACGGGACCCACTTGGATTGTTCAGTTGAAAAATTGTTTGGTTTTGGGCTGATTTTTTTTCATATAGGTTTTGTCAGTGTAGACGTGATAAGGAAGCAAGGTGGACGACTGAGAAGAAAAGAAAGGAGGAACAGGTTGGTACTGAAATGATGTAAGATTAGGAAGGAAAGTAGTGGGTTCACGTGGGTCTGTTGGCTGGGTTCTGTGCGAGGTGGATGGATTTGCCTTTATATGTGGGGCCTTGTCTTGTGAATTTAGTGACCAAACATAATAGAAAAATGAGAAAGTGAGAGAATGAACTGCAGATACAGAGTGAGCCGAGTTGCGGAGAAGGCCGGTAGTTTGAGGAAAAATCTTTTTCACTGTAGGATTCTCTGTATCTTGAATGGCATGGGGTGGTTTTGATTAAATATTTTTATTAAATGTTTTGATTAAATGCATTTTTATTTTGTTTATATACTCACATGAATATGTATATTTTGTGAAGCTGTTTTGTTAAACTTCCATAAAATTCTTATTATGGTTTTTCCTACTGGGACTTTTTGTTTCACCACCCTCTAGTTTCAGGTACCGAAAATGAACGGAAATTGCTAGAGACGGGCTTAGGATGAAAAGTTGGCGTTGCGAGTTTTATTTGTATTATTTTTTTTGTGTATTTTTTATGAAATTGACTTTGTATAAAAGAGGGTATTTTTTTTTTATGATCCTGGGTATATTTTGATGTATCTAATTTTGTATAAATTGAAGATTTTATTAAGATTTTCGGGTCGTGACATAATATATAAAGAAAAAAAATTTGGAAGCCCCTCAGAAAAATATAAATAATAGAAATCTTTTAAGTTAATTGTCAAATTTCTCTATACGTTAAAGTTTAATAATTAAAAAAAATACTATAATTGTTTTAAGAAATTTATAATATATAAAGAAATAAAAAATTATGAGGCTTTCTTATTGGTTGGGGCATAGGCAACCACCTAACTCGCCTAAGGCTCCAGCCGCCCCTGATCAGCACAGTGGCAGCAAAAAATCTTGGTTTCCATGGGGAAGCTTTTCCAAGGTTTTCCCATCTGGAGATCCGATACAAAGTCCGCGAGTCGTGCTAGTAGCCATTTCTGTGACTTGGACATTGAGGATGACAAGGACGTCGACCACTCTTTGGAGTCCTTAAAAGAAGGCCAAGAAAATGAGGGATTGAACAAACAGCAAGTTTTGGAACTTCTTCTTCCACTGGCTCGTAGCAAGCGTGAACAACCACCATCCAAGCCTACTAAGCCAAAAGAGTCGAGACTGTCTGTTATATTGCTTGATCAAGGTTTGTTCACTGTCTACAAGCGACTCTTTGTAGTTTGTTTGGCTTTGAACATCACTGCCTTGGTGGTTGCAGCAAGTGGACACTTCTCTTACGCCAATCGCAAAGCTGTCCTTTTCTCCATCGCCAACATTTTTGCTTTGACATTTTGTCGAAGTGAGGCTTTCTTGCGAGTTGTGTTCTGGCTAGTAGTGAACGTCTTGGGATGGTCATGTGTGCCTCTAAGAATCAAGACAGCCACCACATCCCTCTTACAGTCTCTTAGCGGGATACATAGTGGTTGTGGTATATCGTCAATTGCATGGCTCATCATTGGCGTTGCCTCTGCCATTCTGGCCCTTCTCTGTCTATCTTCTTTGGCAACATTCCCTCTTGTTCGACATCTCCATCATAATGTATTTGAAAGGACTCATCATTTTGCTGGTTGGACAGCTCTTATACTCCTTTGGGCCTTTATCCTCCTTAAAATATCCTATGATTCTATGACTAAGTCCTACAGGGACCATTTTGGTTTTAGGTTGGTTAAACACCAAGAGTTTTGGTTTACACTTGCCATCACAGTACTTATTATCATTCCATGGGTGACTATGAGACGTGTCCCGGTTAAGGTCTCTGCTCCTTCCGGCCATGCCTCCATAATCAAGTTCGAAGGAGGAGTGAAATCCGGTATATTGGGCAGGATTAGTCCGTCGCCCTTCTCAGAATGGCACGCCTTTGGCATCATTTCTGATGATAAGCAAAAGCATATGATGTTGGCTGGTGCAGTTGGTGACTTCACAAAGTCCTTGGTCTCCAACGCACCAAGCTACCTATTGGTTCGGCAGGTGCACTTTGCGGGCTTGCCTTATCTTACCAACATGTACGACAGGGTTTTGTTGGTGGCGACGGGTTTAGGCATATGCGTGTTCCTGTCATTCCTGTTGCAGCCATGTTCGGCTGATGTTTGCATGCTTTGGGTGGCAAAATGGATTGAACAGAACTTTGGGAAGGAAATCAAAGAGATGATGAGTGGGCACCCTAAAGAGAAAGTGATTGTCTATGACACCGCAGTGCTTGGCCGGCCTAACGTCTCTCAGATGAATGTTGATGCTGCCAAAAGATGGGGAGCACAAGTTGTGATTGTTACTAGCAATTCGGAAGGGAGCAGAGACGTTGTCAATGCATGCAAGGATGCGGGAATTCCTGGCTTTGGCCCCATTTGGGACTCCTAAATTCAGCATGCATGCAGCTCATTGATATGTTTAATGTCCATTGTTCATTTTGCTTCACCAAAAGGGACAACTGTTTGTTAATTAGTATGGTTCTCTTAATCTGAGACTATACATGGTATGTTAATAAAATTTGTTTGTTCGTTTTATATTTTCATTCTTTATGTAAAAGCCTAAATCGAAATTGACTGAATTGTGCTCAAGAACGGTTTAATGTTACTCTTTCCATGTGCCTTGATTTTTGTTTTGGTTTGATAATAAGGTTTATTAATATGAGAGCAACCAAAACCAAGAGCTAGCAAACCATCATAACAATTCCTCCAGAGAAATACTAGAAACAAACAGAACAGAACATAAAGACAACCACTCCAACCAAAACAACAATAAACAAGTAATAGTAAAAGCTTAACAAAGCTCATTAAAACACCAAAATGCAACAGCAAACACACAGCTACAGCATATTTGAAGAGCATACACAATCCAAACGGCATCCAAACAAATCAGAAGGCGTCAAAAATCTTGGAAATAACTGTATTAATCACCATCCCACATATTGGGGAACTATTGCCTAATAACGAACAAAGTATGACAGCTTAGGCCTCTTGTTAGGCACTTATCTCCTTATTTGGAGTAGAACCTCTGTTCCAAGACAACCTAATTTCACTTCCTAAAATTTTGTTAATCATGCTGCTCACACAATGAATCCCATTCTCACCTCTTCTTCTCTTACTCCTTTTCTTCCCCAATCTAGGATCATACACAACATAAATGTGTTGTATGGGCTTGGCATTCTACCCACATAATAAGTTCCAAAGCAGCATCTGTTTGACGTTAGGCCGTTTGATCGTTGAGAGAAGAATAAGGTAACAATTAAATATAAAAAACAACCAACATAGTCGGAGAGAAATGGTAATGGAATTTTTATTCCTTCGTCTGGTTAATTGCATTAAATTCTTCACTAAAAACTTCCTTACAAATGAAAGGGAGTAATGCAAGTGAGAGGATTTGGTGCATTTATAGCACAGTGCTACAACACACCGGACGTCTGTGATCCATCACACATCAAGTGTTTCACCATTAACCATTTTTGAGTAGATGCACACATTGTAGCTTAGCTTCAGATAAACACCTTCCTTGTAGAAACTAAAATCATACATCAGGCTTCAATGATATACAATAGTATCATAATCAGTTTTTGTTATGGTTTGAAGTTTTCACCTTATTAAAACAACCAAAGAAAATGAGGGTCCTATCTTTCATCTAAGAAAATCAACTACCCCAAAAGTGCTTTTAAAGCATCAATAAAAACTTCACCAACTGCACTTAATATCCCATTCAATTTAGAACTTCAATTTGTTGGATACATCGAAGAATAACCCTGCAAGAATAAAAATAACACTAGCAGTTGTACTGTTGTCGCCTAGTGGTATCTCTAGAGGGTCGAAGATTTAAGTCCAACTAAGGACAAAAAAATGGGTGTGTAGTTTATTACAAGAACTATTACAAGATAGTGAAACTTATTAATTGGATCTCAAGAGTCAATAATGATCCTAGTTCTCATCTCTGATAGGCAGGCAAAACATTTCGTAAATATATGAATTCTTCTACAGAAGCAAAATTGCGATGACTTCAAACGGAAAGATCAATAGGGGATTAGTACCCCAACAAACATAGTAAGATTAGTCTAGCTATTGATTGGCAAATTTGATTCCCTTCTCTATTGAAGATTTGAGCTCAGGGATGAGACTTTCAAGACCTTGTTTCTCTGATAGGGTACCCAGTCCAAGGACTTCCTCCACCCCATTCTTTCCAAGCCTTACCTGTTGCATCAAAATGTACACAAACATGTCAGAACATCTGATACTTGAATTTAATCAAACAATTACAACTCAGGGCATTCATCATGCAGGATCGCAAGTGGTCATGGAAACAGGATACCATGAGTATATTCTATAGAATTCAAGGTACACAAGAAAACAACGAGTATTCTACCAAGTACCAATTTATATTGCATTATATTACTATTTAACTAGTACAGTTGGCCTCCCCATCATCCAAAAGATAATTAGACATTGTTCTAAGAGGCAGACAAGACCAGCCTACTATATAAACCTGTGGCCTGTGAAATTGCAACCTAAGGCAACTTGATTCAACCACCGGAACATTGCAAGTGAAGACACATTGAAATCATTACACATGGTGTGACGTTCCGAATTTTCACAAACCCGGATAACCAATGTGACCCGAAAGTTGATCCGATAATGAATCCAAAATGCGAAAGCGAAAAATAAAACACAAAGTCGATGAAAGAAAACAAATACGGAAGTAAAACGGTGAAAATAGATCAAGTATGCCCCCAAGGGCAAAATGGTCATTTCACATGCAAACAAAGTCTCAAGAGATGTACGTCATTGCTAACACACAACCATGGCTTCCTATGAAGCCTCGGAACTTAAAAGAAAACAAAATGCGGAAGCAAAGTTTTTTTAAAAAAAGACAAGTTTAGCCCTGGGGGTAAAATCGTAATTTTTAGAAAGTTATAGGTGCTACCGAGCACACCATTGGATAAATAATGAAAAATTAATGAAGTTCAAAAAAAAAATGTTCACCCAAAACGGAGTCCGGTTGAGGGAGAAAAGACCCGACGAAAAATCGACATCGCGACGGCCAAAGGGATGGCTGCCACCTGCTATGTAACCAGAAAATTCAGACTTCAAACGTAATTTTGGACCTCGAAGCAACCTTTTTTGGAAAAACACGAAAATGAAACCCCCCTTAAAATAAAATTTCCAAGCGGATCATGTCGAAAGAAAATTTTATTTTTAACGTGAAATCTCAAAAATACCCCTGAGATCACACTTTTTTTCTTGAAGAAGTGCGCACCAAGAAATCAGATTTGACGCGGGGTTTTGGAGGCCGAGACGACATTTTTTGGGAAAAAGTTTTGAAGAAACCCCCCCTTAAAATCATATTTTCTAAGTGACCATGTCAAAACCGGAATTTATTTTTGAAGAAAAATCCTCAAAATGCCCCTAAACAAGATTTTGCAAAAAATTGTAAAAATGAGAACAACCAAGTGTTCAAATGACTAAATATGAAGTTGTTAGCTAAAATGATTGTGCACACAAACGTAATAAGTGTTTTAAAGTGTGTGGGAATAGTCCATGACCCCCAATTATGCCCAATGTAAAATCCGACCTATTAAACCCCAAAAATGCCTTAAAATGAAAAATTTGAAGCATATCATCAACCATAACATACAACCATGATATTTTGTGCAATGTGATCATTCTAACAAATGTAATATACATAATAAAATGCGTCCTAATGGCCCATGGCCTCAAAATACAGCATATGCAAAATATGACATGTCCAAGCTCCAAAATCATGAAAAATAGTCATTTTAAGCAAAATTTGGAGTCAACCATCATAGATGCATTCAAAGAATTATTTGACCCTTGGCCACACGTCATATATAATATAAGAACACTATGAAAAATGATAAAACACAATTCCCACCATCCAAGCTGAAATTGTCATGCTAAAATTTCGCATTTTTCAAATTTTTTTCTCATTTTTAAGCATAATATCAAATAGCATAAAAGTAAAGCATGAGATTCTTGGCCCTTGGCCTCATCACATACATGTCAAATAAGTCTCAAAGGATGCATTTAGGTACTTATTACATATCCCAAGTAAAAGTTACAAGTTTTGACATTTTAAACTAAAAATATCATTTCATGCTAACATTTGCATGAATCAAATATTTCAAGTCTACGAATCATCCAAAACATAATGCAAATCCCGAATCTTGATTCCTGTACCTGAAAAATGTCTTCACTTCGTGGGTGAGTAACATAAAGCTACTCGTAGGAAATGAACATGCGTATAACCTAAAGTTTTGTAAGTCTTTATAAGTTGATATAAATCAATTCATGCGGTTCATGCCACCTAACGTCTATGTCCACGGTGAGACTAAGGGATCATCCTAGAACATCCACATCATAAACCATAATAAATAAACAATTAAACAACATGAAATTTCAAATACCAAGTAATGAAACATAAATGCACAAAGTAAACAACTTGAAATGCGAAATCAAACAAGTGGAAAGACTAGGACATGCGGTCACAAGACCGAGCAAGTTGTTCTGGGTAATTACGACCCTCAATGAGCTACCTAGTGCGCACTTGTGACTAATGAAGACTCTTGTCCTCATATTAGTGCCGAGCCCTAACCATCACATAAATTATGTCCTCTCTAACTTTCCAAAATCAACAAGTTGTGCACCACAAGTATATACACATAACACTAAATGCACATAATTAAATACCACACGCAACTAAGATATGGAAACACACAAGACATGCCCTAAGTCCTCCACTATCATGGCATGCAACATAGTAGGCCTTGAAAACATCAAAGATACAAATAAATCATAAATTCATTAAATGGAAACTAATAAAATAAAAATTAATTAATTCCTCTAGATTGCAAAACATCACCAAATGATATGAAATTAACACATAATAAGCAATATATCATGAAGAATTCAAATATCAAATCAAAAGTCTAATTAAGCCACTAAAACACTCAACTAATTTTTAATTAACTTAATTAATTAAAAACTCTATATTTCAAAAGTCATCCAAAAATTCCAAAAATAATATATAATGAATTACAAGTCACGGGCTCTCCAAATATTATATTATTAATTAAATCTAAGCATGCTTCAACTATAAAATTAAATCATTATTTAATTAAAATAAAAACTATTTTTCGATCTAAACTTTAAACATACATTTAAGTTATATAAACCTAAAAAAAACATGTAAAATACTAAGATTATAAACATACAACACCCTTTACCTCACTTAAGATGAAAATCTCAAATCCCACCAAAATCAAACTCTACAAAATGTGATGAAACTTCGGGATTTTGGCGGGGATGACAAAGAGAGCATGAATCCTTAAGTGAGAAGACCCAAATCCAAGCTTCAACTCTCAGCCCAAAAGTCAAAGTGCTGCAAATAGGAAATCGCTCGGATAGAAATGACCGCATCGTCGAGGAGATAAAAAAAGTATAAACCGCGAAGATGAAATTCCAAAAGGAAATAGATGAAAAGAGGAGAGAGAAAGGGCAGCTCTAAGGTTCTTCAATGGAAGCTAATGGCTGCTACTTTAGGAAATAAAAAGTTAGGGATGCTTTCTCTCTCATCCACTAACCCTAAATAGGTCAAAAAGATGTCCTGAACAGTCCGAACGGGCCCCGTCTGGGTCTAAAAAAGGAAATTAGTGAAGACGCGCTCAAATGCCGATGGTCCATGAACGAAAAAATTTTGAAATGGAATTCTAAGGTCAACGGAAGAAAGCGGGTTGAAAACCGAGTCCCGAGCGAGATGATATGTCCTGGACAAGATTGACGACTAACGGGGTTCGAAAATTCAAAATAAATGAAATAAAAATCTGAAAAAATATTCCGGAAGTTCCAAAGTCCATAAAAAGTTAAAATAAACCCTCATGAAAGTTTGAACCCAAAACGAGAAACTTTTCTGAAAACTTTCCATAATTACACAAATGCCCCTCCACTGGATAACTCAAAAAGTGAATTTCTCAGAAAGCCCAAAATGAAGTGTCATTTAAAACATATATTTAAAAGAACCTTAAATACAAAATTTTATCAAAAGATAATTACGAAAAACACCCCAAGTAAAGAAAACAATTTTCAAGAATCTTTATATTTTTACCCCTACGGGCAAAAGTAAACATCTAGCATACTTTTCTACAAAAGTAAAAATGTGGATCACATAGAAATCAAGTAAAATGAACGCATGCAAGGTCGGAATCAAATCCGAGCATGACCCGGTAGGTTACGCAAAATGAAAAGATAGTGAAAAAGTGACGGAAAAAGAAAACTCGGAAAAAGAAATCAACGGAAAAAAAAATTATCCGTATCATTTGAGAGAACAAAAAAGAAAAAAAATAACCGCGCCATTATACATGGGTAGGTTGTAATGAGCTGGTCAACCTCTGCCATCATAAAATAAATGAACTAACATGAAATGTTTAGGGTGGAAATTAAAATATTGGATAATCTGAGATATTTAGGTACTACAACCTCCGAGCCATAGGAAAGTGAGGTGTCACAACTATATATATATATATATATATAGTATTGATAGAAATATAATTACACACAGTCACACATGTATATCTTTGCAACGGATGCACATATATATACATCTAGAACTATACTAGAGCCTAATGGTCTAAACCAACAATGAGTCGGAATGCAGTCACAGGGACATATCCACCAAACAATCTTTCCAATAAACCTTTGACTGAAATTGCAATAGGTGTAATTAATATCTAAAAAGACAACATGTCCGACAGGAGATAGTTAAAACCAGGGCGCGAATCACCTGCAGTGAAGCTCCTCTGCAATTTCCTGCGATAACTTTTAAGTGGTCTATATTTGGCCACATCATTCTTCAGCTAACGGACACAAAGGCCGTGTTTGGCCAATTACATTACTATTTATAAGTAACATTTCACCACCATTTATAAGTAACATCACATGGTCTAAAAAGTAATGTCACATATAAACATAACTCAATTCAACATATCATTTATGTTATTATTTGAAATTAAAAGTGGTGATGTTTCCTTTTACAAATGGTGATGTTACTTTTTAGACTCTGTGATGTTACTTATATATGGTGATGAAATGTAAAAATAGTCTAAAAAGTAACATCACCACCATTTATAAGTAACATCACAGAAGTCTAAATGTAATATTACATAGTTTAAAAAGTAACATCACCACATTTTAAGGGTGAAATATACTTATAAATGGTGGTGATGTTACTTTTTAGACTATGTGATATTACTTTTAGACTTCTGTGACGTTACTTAAAAATGGTAGTGAAATGTTACTTATAAATAGTGGTACAATTGTCAAACAAAGTGTTAGTGTCTATTAAGTAGAGTAAAACGTGGTCAAACCAAGGCCACTTACTGCTCACTGTAAGAAACATAAATAAGTGGAGAATTGCACTGCAGGTGATTCGCGCCCGTTGAAACCATAGAGATACCGACATAAATTTAACTTGTGCATCAGCTTCAGTAATAGAGAGCTCAACTCACACCTCCATAACATTTACAAACAAGATAAGACTGGTCAACAGGATATAAAATTCTTATAAACATCAAAGAATTATTAGAAAACAAGGTTCGGCCCAATTCCCTTTAGGACAGTTAAAAAAAATAAATGAAAATCCCTTTAGGACATGATCAGAGGTAAGTTCTTACAAAGTCAGATGTAAAACAAGTAATAATCAAAACACACAATTAAAACAATCCAAAATCAAGTACTATCCAGTTAGCACCACTTATGTCATTACTGGATTATATCGACACCCATACAGAAGGATGAATGTCAATATCAACATTACAAGCATGTCAATGATAATCCACTTAACATTGAATGGTAGCAATGAAGGCTATAAAAATACAAAATAATCAGGTAAATAATCCAACTAAATTCACTGGTATTTTCCAAGCCGCTCACATAACATGCAATATCATATATATCCCAATGACATGAAAATCAACAAGTTCAAATTACTCACCTGAGAGGCAAAGAAAGGCAATTCGGTAATGCTTGATTGAACAAAAGAGCATTCGATTATATCTGGTACTCCATTAAGCCCTTTCAAGCCAGCATCAGCAAAAATGGCTCCAGCATAACTGCAAAAGACATGGCTATTAATCTCCAATGCAATCATGATTCATTTCTATGATTGCAGAGAACATCATCAACAACTTTAGAACAAAGATATAATATGAAAGAAAATGAAAAGGAAAAAAAAAATGAAGGAAACTCCAACTCATTCTTATAAGAACAAAACACAAGGAGAGTACAATAAGTTCAACTTGCACAAGATTGATAGTGAACTTATTTAATATAGAATAGGAAAATTAATACAATACAGGAAAATCAAAAGTAAGGGTAAAAGTAAGGGTACCCTACATGTAGTTTCCATAAAACTTTTTTATTTTATATTTTTTTTGCAAACTAACTCAAATTTCCATATAAACCATGGCATGCACCCTTGTAGTAGGGGAATTGTCAGCTAGACCATGGGACTTCTTTCATTACCCACTGACCAGATAATCATGAGAACCCATAAATTTGTAGCTTTGCCTCATAAACTGATTATGGCAAACTAATCATGCCTCTTCAACATTTGATGGATGTCTACAACTTCTACACAATGATTTTACATTAAGCTAAACTTTCCACAGAATGTCTAACAGTAAATGATCTTCCTCAGAAGAAAAATATTATTATTTAAACCTAGATATGTAATAACTTATTTTTGCAACTTATTTTCACTTGAAATCAGATTCATATCAGTTAGTCCATCAATATAACCTCCAAACATCAAATCTCTCACAGGTATAATGTAATAATTGCAACACAAACATAATGACAACAATCATAAAAACATTCACTGAAAACAGGAGAGAAAGAAAGACGAAACAATCATAGCTTAGCAGAACCCTTTCCAGCCTTTGCTTCCACGACCTCTGTCCCCCCATCCTGGGTTCTCTTAGTAAGAGCAGCAATATCTTCCTCTGATAAATTGGATGTTGGTGTGGCCTAAAACATTATTCACCAATGACGATATGAATATCAGAATGTTTGAACTAGTAATTGACTGAACTTTTACAAAAGAGTCCAGTCTCATCTCATTCAGGTCAAAATATAAAGTGAAATCAAGGGAGAAAGAAAGACGAAACCATACTTGTGAAAACAGGGGGAGAATTGTTATGCCAGCATGACCACCAACCATAGGTACATTCACTTCTGAAGTACAAACACAGGCAGAATTTTGAAGTTGAGAGACACATTCTTATGGGAAGATGCATCTTTCTTTAACCCTCAGTTTGGTTGCAAGGAAAACTGACAAAAATAATAATAATAAAGAAAGAAAAAAAAAAAAAAAAAAGAACTTCCTAAACTTCATCGTTTTCTAATTTGCTAATTTGGCTTATTATTTTTAAAAAAATGAATCTGCTCAACTAAGCACAATAATGTGATTATGCTCATTTGTAATACAGGAAAAGTAGTGTGCTCATACTTGAATGACACTATTTTATGAAAATGATTGCAGTTATCTTTAACTGTACTGTTTAAAGTATTTACATTGGACCATTTAATTTCAAGGACTGAATATAGTCTAAATGGATTTTCTTTTCCTACTTTTACCCGGTAAACAAACAGAACAGGAAAATGAATTTAAAATAACCATTCAGAGCAAAAAATGGGATGTACCAGCCACTGGAACGTTTGCCTTCCCAGCATAGAAAGTTTTAGCCCTAACCACATCAAAAGTTTTTTTATGTTTTTTTCTCCCAATGTGCCTACTTAAATCTACTTACGTTTTTTTATTTTTTTTCTCCCTCTTTTAAGGTGGTCTCTGAAATGGATTCAGTTAAAAACTGAGGGGGAGGAAGAATTATTGAATACCCTAATGTTTCTCTCCATCCAAAGGGTGTAATACCCCAAACCTGTTCCAACCATACATTACAAAGATCTACCCTCTAATAGGCACCTAAGGTATGAAATCACAATAAACTGACGACAAATGGTTCAAAATAGACATACTTCATCCCTTTAATACATTCATCACAACCTAGAGTCATTAGATTACATGCCTTAAAGACAAGTACTACATGTTATTACATGATCAAAATATACAAAACTTCACATAAATACAACATATACAGTGATACAAAAGAAAAGCCATAGGTGATGGTTTAAATCCATCTAAGCTTGCGGAGGTATGTTCTCAACGACCTCCTTTCCATGACCTGGAAAAAAATATAATAATGACGGAGTGAGTACAACAACTCAGTAGAAGTTACCTAATCCACACTCCTTCGTACTTCCACGAATCCACACAAAGAATAGCTATAAGTAAAAGGGTCATGCTTGCCCGGGAAAAATAACTAAAAATGTGTTTAAATACAGTGCAATGAAATGCAATGCAATAGAATGTAATGTCACTCCCTGTTTTACAAAATTCCCATCCAACGCCTCAATCATCAAACCGTTAATGTAACCCTGACCTAAGGTAATCCCTTAGCGTCTTTGGGGCCTAGTAACTCAACCACGCGCAAGGCAAGCTCCCTACATCCTCTCTAGGTCCCATTAACGACATGGACACAAGGTAACTCCTAGCCGCCCAGTTTCGCAAACAATGTTTTCAAAATAATCCCCACAAAATCAGTTTTGTATCATTAATTACCAAACAGAATTTTCCTTCTTTTCAAATTCTGTTTTTTTTTTTTGCCCAAATGCTACCCAATGTAATGCATGAATGATCGAACTACATAATGTCACAATGTCCTAACAACTTCCACCTCAAATTTTAGTTTTGTTTCACCATACATTGATGACAACAACATGGCAAGTTTTATATCACAATAATGTATTCATTCATGCAGAAAATCAGTAGCATAACTAGGTAATTTAAACTTAGGCAACAAGTGTTTGTTTCAACATTCATGCTTATGTACAAAACCTAATTGAGCAAGAAAAATTCTGTTTTAGACACATACAACAACTAACATGTAGGAAGCCTAAAATTCAGTTTCTAAAGATATTACACCCACCAATATAGAAACTACAATTTTCAGTTCTACAATATTTAGTCACATTTTGTTTTCAATTTCAAGCGTATAATGTACCTAATTTACATAACTCAATTGATAAAAAAAAAAAAATTCTAGTTTGGAGCACAAACTAGCATAAAATTAACATGGCATGGTGCTAAAAATTATCATGGCAGCTTCACCCAATACAAGAGTTATAACAAACAATCCAAAAATTGAGGTACAACAACCATGAAAAATTTCAGTATGTAAACAACAATAGCACAACCATTACCTCTATTAAAATTTTCGTTTTAAGAACATAATCACAATTAACATTTAGAGGAGCACCATTTCAGTTTTCTAAGACACACGAAAAAAAAAAAAAAAGAAATGAAAAGAAAAAATACCCAATTTACAAAATCTCAGCATGTCTATACACATTTCAAAGAGAAAATTCACAAGAAGTAAATGAATTGAAATTTTGGACAATCCTACCTCAAAGAGGATAATAACCTTGAGGCAAACACTCCAAAGATCACCAATTTATTACCCAAAACACCAAGAAAATGAGGAAAGAAGAGGATGAATAAAGTCTCCTTGTGTAGCACTAACCCAGCCTCTCTTTCAAGAAGCTATGAAGAAATGGGTTTACATCCTATATCAGTAAAAAGATCTCCCTCTCTAGATCACTCTTCATTCACAAGGCAACCCTTAATGCACATCACAAAGCTCTCAAAATTGAGCTCGAAGAAAGCAACTATGGGAAAACTGCCGAAGGAAAGAGGAATAAAAGAGGAGAAAGAAATACTGTAATTATCAAGGTGTCATGTCCTACAAGTGCACACAATGATCTGTCAAATACAAGCAAAATATGTAGCCAAGTATAGGTGTATGTGTCAAGTGTAGAAGTGGTCAAATGTATAACCATGCAATTGGACTAAAATGCCCTTTTTACACCACTAAATCACCTCTATGCCATTCCAATGCCAAAAGACTACTCTATCCCCACATAATTGGTAAAGAACATATAAAATAAATAATTACAGCAAGAAATAAATAAAATTAGGAAACCTCACAACCTCTCCAACATAAAAAGATTTCGTCCCCGAAATCGAGTCATACCTGGGAAAGAAAACAACTCCGGATACTTGAAACGGACTTCCTGCTTTTGTTCCCAAGTAGCCTCCTCAACGCCGTGATATCTCCACAGAACCTTCACTAACGGTATCGTCTTGCCTCTTAACACCTATTCTCGAGTGTCAAGAATTTGGACTGGTCTCTCCTCGTAAGAAACGTCCTCGTCAATCTCCACATCAACCCAACTCAACCCATGAGATGGATCCGACTCATATTTACGCAGCATCGATACGTGAAAAACATTATGGACTTTGTCCATCTGGGGTGGCAATGCCAACCTGTAGGCAACTTCGCCTACACGGTCCAAAATCTCAAACTGCCCAATGAATTGTGGCGATAACTTGCCACTCCTCCAGAACCTCATCAAACCCTTCCGTGGAGAAACCCGTGGAAGACATGGTCTCCCACCTCAAAGGATAGTAGCCGTCTCCGCCTATCCGCATAACTCTTCTGTCAGCTCTGAGCTGTGAGCAACCTCTGTCTGATCAACTTAATCTTCTCAGTAGTCTCAAGTACAATGTAGGGTCGTAAGGCGGCTGTCTCGCCTACTTCAGTCCAACAAACTGGAGACCTACAAGGTCTACTATACAACGCCTCAAATGGAGCCATCTCAATGCTCCCCTGATAACTATTGTTGTAGGCAAACTCAATAAGTGGAAGATGATCTTCCCAACTACCTCCCAAATCAAGTACACAAGCCCGAAGCATATCCTCCAAGATCTGGATAGTACGCTCCAACGGCCGTCTGTCTGTGGATGGAATGTTGTACTAAGATATAACGATGAACCAAACATTGCTTGAAGTCCTTTCCAGAACTTCGAAGTGAACTTGGCATTTCTATCTGAAACAATAACCACTGGAACTCCATGTAACCTTATAATCTCTTTCACATACAATCTGCCAAGTGCCTATGCGGTGTCTGTCGCCTCAACAGGCAAAAAGTGAGCTGTCTTGGTTAATCTGTCGACAATAACCCATACAGCTTCATTTCCCCTCCGTGATCTAGGAAGACCTGTCACAAAATCCATGGCAATCTGTTCCCATTTCCACTGCGCTACAAGCAATGGTTACAACAAGCCCACTGGTCTCTAATGCTCGGCCTTCACCTGCTGACAGGTAAGGCATCTAACCACAAACTGTGTAACATCTTTCTTCATTCCATTCCACCAATATTGACATTTCAAATTGTGATACATTTTAGTACCACTTGGATGAACTGCAAAGCGGGAAGCGTAAAACTCCCGTAAAACATCCTCACAACAAACTGTGGGAATAGCCAACAAACCTCTAAA